ATATTACCTTCATTTAATTCTTTCTTCGAACTTGTTGGAGTTTCTTCGTCAAATGTATCGGCTCGTTTCAAGTCATTCATTGATATAAGAATTGTGTGCAAGGAGCCTTTACTGAGTCCTTCAACAGCCGACTAAAAAGAACGACCAATGTCAGAATCATTCCAGTTAACTATGTCTCATTTCAACTACTATATCTATAATGTGCATAGTTAACAGTAAATCCATAAATTTAGAGTTGGTAGTAATGAGTATATGACTGTGATGATCTTCAATGTAGACTTCTTATTATCTTATACCAATATGTACCATTAAACTTTCGGATTGATACGTGGTTATTTCTCATTAAATGACATGAAGTTTCAATCTATTACTCATCAATGGGTCATCTTTACATGATGATACTTTTATTCGGTTGTACTCTAATCAGTACTGTTCAGTGGCGTTTTCAACAATGTAGTGTGATTCCGAAGTGAAGAGATAAATACCAACTACTGAACAATCTGAACATAGACTGAACAGATCGTTCTTGGCTGTAAGCAAATAGTCTTGACAGTTTTGATTTTACCGCAGTAGATAAGTCTGAAAATTGACTAAAACACTGAAGCAAATTAATACTATATCGTTCGGTCTTTTATGAGCTGTTTATATCAAAATTACCGTTTCAAAGTCAAGTCACTTATCTGATACTATAACAGGGACAGGTGTGATCCTTAAAAATCAATATGTGTTCACTCATATTGTCTGAATATTTTATGAGTCTACCAGAATGTAAGAAGGGATGTAATTTTAGTCATTAGCAGTTTTCAGAATGTATTAGCCATGTGAACCTTGGTATAGTATTTTGTGTCGGGTTAAAATGTGTCAATTATAGAAACACTTCTGTTTTCTGCAATGATAATGATATTTTTACACACCTGAGATAAATCGATCGACTGAATATTAAAGTCGGAATCTATTACACTACATTTTTGAATGATTATCCGAATAGGTTTACCTTATGTTCGAAATCCTCTTCTTCTGCAATGTGTACTATTGGTGGCTTTGAAATCTTGACAAGTGTTGTTGCTGATAGAGAAAACACAGTAATTCTGATGAGTCCATAATGAAATATACAAGTGGGGAAAACATTAAAAATAATAAACATTCTTTGATTTTTTGTTCATTCAGAAAAAAAAAAGAATACGAAATTTTCTATTCATGACTTAACGGCGAAAAGGTTTGATTGTTCAGCAGAGTAATTTTATATTTTTTTATAGGAATGAATTCCTATACTGTATTTGGCAAAACCTTTAGGATTGTTTATGCCATCACTGCTCCTCAACTTTGTACTCACGTTTGGCTTTTAATTTGAGCGTCTTTTGTAGAGGAAACGCTTATCTGGCGTACACAAATATAAGCCTGGTATCTGTGGTGATTTTTTGTTTAAAAGATGTTTCATATATTTTGTCAAGAATGCAGCTTAACCGTACTTTGACCTACAATGATTTTTCTTTAACAAAATAAAATTGTGACTTGGATGGAGATTTGTCTTATTGGCACGCATACCACATCTTTTTTATATATCTAATAACTAAAATAGGTACAACTAAAACAATCGTGCTAGGATAACAAATAATAAAATGTTGGGGTCTTTTTTTGTTTGTTTTTTTTTTATTTCATCAAGCAAGCTGAAGTGTGAATTCAAACAGTTCGTATTCTGTCAATGAAAATTGAAGCTAAGGTACATTTGTGATACGTCAACGTTTAATTTCCAGCGAAACGGATCTTACCTTTACAATTAAACTTTTCCATTAGTTCATAAATACAATACACGAGAATGACACCTATAAAAAAAACATAATTTTACTATTATATATATTCACATACACGAAAAAATAAATAAATTAGTCTGAAATATTCCATCAGAGTTTTGTCAATTTATATCAAACATGTTCTTTGTTTTTGTAAAATCGTTTATAATATCAGATGATCATTTCAAAGATAGTTCACATAATGTAACAGTACCATATTTGTCAAAACCGTTTGCCCTAGACACTGTTATAGGGCTAAAATGATTGTTGTATTTAAGGTGATACCACGCACATTAACTTAACTTAATTTTCAATAAATTTGGACAAAATATATGCTTTGACACTTTGACAAAAAAAAAAACAAAAAAAATAAACCTTGAACCACACACTTTATCAGAAAATTTTCATTGGATATATAGCAGTTTGTCAAGCACACATTTTGATCATTGAGAAGCTTTGTTCAGCTGAATTTTACAGAGTTATCTCCCTTTAGTGTTATGTTCCACCTGAAGTATCAATACTGTCATTCATACAGACATACGGAATTGATCAATACACAACATAAGAATGAAGAGAAAAAAAAAACCAAAATGAAAATAAAAAAACATTACATTGTTTTGTCTTTACCTGCCATTTAGATGTCTATTTGATATCTTTAATTTGTTGCATTTAATACTGAATTAGATCAAGAGCCATATTGAATATGTTAAGCGACATCTTATATTAACGTAAAATTATCATAACATGATATGATATATTTTGAAACAACTGAAAGATTACTTTTGTCCATACGTCAATACTACATTTATCACTTTTTACAATTCAATTTTTTTTCGAAAAAAACAAGTTTTAAATATTGACTAATAACATGCTTACCAATGCAGAAAGTAATGACAATTATTCTTCCGTATAATTTCCGTTGAACTAAAATAAAAAACATAACTCTGCGAGCAATACCTTACATAATGAACTTTTCTCTATAAAATAAAAGTACCTATAACTCCATCAACTTCATGAGCCGATTTGCGATCAAAATAGATTTAAAGTTATATATTTTAAAATATATATTTGTAGATATATTATTATTTAATGCAACGATGACTGTTGAGTCTGCTGACAATTTGCGTTAACTGATGAAAATTACCGTATTAAAATCCCTGCCTGCTGATGAAATGTTGGGATATTTTTCACTCTGATAGGCATTTTCAGCCAAGTTTTGATTAATAATGGACCTACAATTACACGCATCTTGCCTGTGTTTCTGTCATTCACACACTTGACTTTTAAATGTTTGGGTGTGAGCGTTTCTGCTGAAGATGAATCTAGAAAAGCGCCTCGGAGGCACTTAATCAGTAAAATGACATGTTAATAGCTCTTCGTGTGTTTTGGTCAAATATAGATAAGTTAAGTACGAAATGATAGATACATAGTGGCAATACAAAAAGCCTAGCAATATTTTGTTTTCTACTTCTTAGTTGAGACATGCAAATGCTCTAGACGAAATTATCATTGAACATATTGCACATTTTATTATATTTTTGACATCTTATAGAAGTCACAGCATTACAAACAATATACATTTCTGATGATCCTGTACCATCAATTAGTGCAAGAAAATAATAGTTCAAATCTACATAAATAACAATATCACGGTTGTACATTTAACATTTAATTACCTGGCGTTAGGATATGTTCTGTTATTTTGGTATCTGTTGTATTACTGTCGTTTTTTTCTTTGCTGACACTGTAATATAAATTTTCTTTTAGCAAACACGCACATTATTTCAAACTTTTGCACAACAGAAAAACATCACGATAGTTATAGAAACATGTTAAATTAGCATACTTATAGTTATATATTCAATCAAATTTGTTTTAATTAAACAGAACATTGTTTACCTTTCTCTGTACATTGTTGTACAATTGGCTGTTGTTGTATTCATCTCCTCGTGAATGCATTTGTAATCTAAACAAATGAAAAACTAATTGTTGAGATAAACTATAACAATTGGTTATTAACTTATTCAGCGTACTAAAATATGATAGAGTAGCATAAACATAGCCGCGATCATGTGTATGCTGGTTAAATAACTTTTTGTAGAACGATCATATCGTGGTTTGCCAAAAATGTCTGTTGAGGTTCTTTTCAAATATATATTACTTTATATATATGTCCCCAAAAGTCTAAACTTTATAATGTTTTCTGTAATAATATACATAACAAAAGTAATAAAAGCAACTTCGAAGCATTGTGTAGATATGCACTTTAGAGATTTGATAAGATAATGTTGTAGTGGCGGATCCAGGGGAGGGTTCCGGGGGTTGGAACCACCTATTTGTGGACGATCAATGCATTTGAATTGGAACATATAGTTGAAACCCCTTTTTTCCTGAGTTGGGAACCCCTCCTTTCAAAAATGGCTGGATCTGCCCCTGAGTGAACTACGTTTCGATGTAAGCACGTAAAGTTACTATGCATATGTGTGTTTGTTTATTATACATTGGCTGTGAGGCATTATGGGAAGTGGGTTTGATCTAACAAAATGTGTTAAACCCTACCACATTTTTACACCTGTCCCAAATCATAAACCTACAGTCCTTGTAAATCAAATATAATCCCAGACAACACTATTATTGAGTTTAACTTAAATTGTATGTTTAAGATCGTTGAAATAGGTTTTTACATACGGTAGAAATACTGTAAAACAACTTATTTAATCGAGCAATTTATTTTCGAAACTTTTGTGATTAGAAAAATAATGCGAATATAAATAGTCCCAAATTTGTACAAATTAGACTGTTCGTTATTCAACTACTTCAAGTAAATTTGAACATCGCGAAATTAAATGGCCGCAAATAGGGATAGAAAGGATTTATCGTAATATAAAGTAACCGCGAAAATAAGTTGGTCTATAGTAACTAGTACCACTGTAAGGCCTTCGTGGCCATACTCCCATTAAACACTATTCCTTCTAATTAAAAATATAAATGATAATTACATTCTACAGATTGACTCTCCATTCTTACCTGGTGATAAAAGGTAAGTTTTGTCAATGCATGTCTTTAAATAACATGAACAATCTTCTTCTGATGGCACACAGTAACATGGATTTCGGGTGTTTTCGAGGAAGTCGTAACCTCTCGTATAGTCACACCTGCAAGTACTATCTGTATTCTGATTTCCATGACTATATACCACTTGTCCTTCTTCATTGCATACAGACTTAAGAAAGATACAGTTGGTACTAACATTTGTATAAAATTTTATAGGCCATGGATGGTACCTCTCCTGCGAACAAATATCTGCATCTAATCCTCCACGAAGAACACCTTTTCTACCTAGATTGAATATGTCATAATACATAGTTTGTATAACAAGTATTCATTTTACCTAGTATTGTCATTTGAAAATAATCGTTAAAACTGAGTCTTTTATAATTGCTGATATGGGCATACTTAAAATGATACATTTGGACAAACACTTATTTACTAGATAATTCCTTATAATTTGTAAGTCTGTATCGTGTTCTAAGACAGGGATATGACATGTATCTTCCATTCCTGATGTGTTTGAGCTTTGATTTTTTCATTTGATAATGGACTTTCGGTTTTGAAATTTCTGTGGAGTTCGGTATTTATTGGATTATAATTTTAAGTTTTTATCTAACAAATTTCCAAGAATGAGGTGTAGTTTAGTGGTTTAGTGGTGTATGTACCAAGTCAGGAATATGGCAGTTGTTGTCCTCTTAAAGTTGAATTGTTTCTTTCGATTTTAGTTTGTAACCCGGATTTGTTTTCTCTCAATCGATTTATGACTTTTGGCTTTATTTACCTTGACTAATGATCAACAAGTAGAATTACTTTTTTTTTGAAGTTTAATAACCAGTGCGGAGTTGACTTGCATTCTAGTCGGGGTTTTTTTTGAAACAAAATACAGGTTTTGTCTCTCAGCATGAGCTTACCTGGCGCCTGGAAATCAGATATTGTGCAATTTTCAGAAAATCCGTCAATTAGATCATTCTTGAGGCAGGAATACTTTGATGGTTGTGGACACAGACCTCTTGCTCGAATTGACCACTGTGCTGGTTCTGGGCATTGTAATGGAAAGGCTCTACATACGTGAATCTAAAATATACATGGTTATTAAACTTCAATTAATGGCAATGCAAATATTTAAGAAGGGCTAAATTCTCTCTTATGTGTAAAACTTTTGAATTTATAATAGTATATGTTTAGCACAACTGACAAGAAAAACGATTTTAGAAATACAAAATTGCTTAACACAGTTAGTTTTGTTGAATAATTATGTTTGATTAGTAGTTTAAATATTTCGTTTCTCTAATTCTCAATCTTAAAATGAGCATACGTTAGCATTCGTTGTAATCATTTTTTTAATAATGTTGATTATTTGAATTGGAGTTCAAAAGAAGCGTCCGAAAAATTAAACCCTAATTTTTATTATTCATAGTGGCAAGATCTGTGAATGATATATTAATGTAGTTATTGCAGTTTAATACATACCAGTAACAGGAACCTGAAGAACATTCTTGTTTTATGCTCTTATTCTGTGGTAGAAACAAAGTCTGTAAAAAATATATATAGAAACTAGGGAAAATAATAAAAAAAAAAACAATGCTGAATATTTGACCTTGTGGATAATTTTTACAAACAAATATTATAAAACCAAATAGAAAAATGTTTTAATCATGATTATGCTTTCATCATAATGTTTATAATGGCTTTAAACTATTGAAAACATGTTATATGTTCTTATTATTTTATTGGGTCTTAAACATTACCAACGTACATTTTGGTACAACTTGTTTCACATTTCGAGAAAAAAAAAATAAAAAAAAAAAAAAATAATTTGACAATGGTAAGTGTTAAATTTACATATATTTGCGAACTATCTGTGAAGTTTCAGGAATATGATCTGTGTTGAAAACTACAGTCTGCAAAATTTGAACAAAAACCTCAAATAATGACTTAAAATCTAATGCACAGTTTCAACATTTTTGCAATCTATATATACAGTGTGTGTGTTTTAGGTTGACAACTTGTTCCATGTTTTTTAAACTTTGAGTACCAAAATTTGGAAAAAAAAAAACAAATTTCTCAAACAATTCCATAAAGCCGTTGCCTACTTTATCGGCTAGCTTGTTTTGTACTTTTTTTTTTATTATACAATGTTTCAGAAATTGTGCTTTTTATCTTTGATTCTTGAAAATTTAGTTTAAATTGTTATTATACATACATTGATTAAACTATTCAAAAACAGTAACACATGCAAATTCATCACTTAGTAAGTTAATGATTGATTAGCTTGCAGTCATGGAATCACAAAAGTAACGTCATTTAACAGCTTCCATAAGATAAAAAAAAACTTAATGACATACCCTTGGTCTCTATCACTTACAGGTCATTAGGTAAATTTATATATCACAAATGTCAAATACAAAAAGGGAATTAACTCTCATATGGAGTCTCAGGACTCGATTTGAAAAGCAACTTGGGAATCTGTTTCCTATGACAGAGTTTTAGACCTGTCTACTTTAATGGCAACTGATACTTATTGTCGTTATTTTCATAAAGGTATTGTATGCCCTTCCCAGCTACTACAAAATATATTAACTTCGTCTGATGCAGACAGCATTGACCATAATCAAAGCAGTATATCATTAAAAGATTCATTTCACGAAACCAGTATGTTTTATAACAACATATGTAGAAGGACGTTCAAGCAGTTTTGCAAACGTTTGACCAATCTGAAGCTAATATAAATGTCGGTGAAAGACAGTCCCTTTTTAACAAAACATGTATTCGAATCAGCTGTATTGAGATTCAGCAAACCATATATACCAGTGGAAAGAGAGCTATAATATATAATAGATATTTGTAAGGTCTATATGTGAGACTACCTTCTTTGTATATCTAGAAGCTCTCACGAAGATTATCCCTTGGTTCTTTGCTTTGAATCACACCAACTATTCACGACGGTGCCAATTCATCAACGTAATATGCTTTATTTATCAAAATCGAATCAAAAAATTCACAGAACATTGGTTGACAGAAATTGTGTGGAGATCACCCCCGGTTTTTGGTGGGGTTCGTGTTGCTTAGTCTTTAGTTTTCTATGTTGTGACTTTTGTACTATTATTTGTCTGTTGGTCTTTTTATTTTTTTAGCCATGGCGTTGTCAGTTTATTTTCAATCTATGAGTTTGACTTTCCCTCTGGTAACTTTCGCCCCTCTTTTATCAAGTAAGTGGTGTTTAGGGTTATTATGTTGTCGCAAATCCTGGTATGCCATCACCAGATTCATCTGGTTGGCAAAAACTTAATGATACATGGGTGCCATTCTGGTCAGTGCATGCAAAAGCTGCGGTGTCATGTTAAGAGCTAATCAACTGCAGCTGTACGATATTATGTCGAGGGTCATGCAAAAGCTTGAAAGCAGCATTGAAATGCAAACCATTATGTAATCACTCACCGGACTGTGAGAGTGAAACTGATTAAGACTGTGCAAAAATTGATTATCCCGCATTTAAATCTTATTTTGATGATCAATAATTTGAATGTGTTCTATAAAGTTGTAAGTCAAATAATTACTTTTGATGTGCCATTTTTATTTTCGCACCGATTTTGAAAAATATAATACTTGTCTTGTTTCTTTATAGGGTTTAGTACATATTTTTCCATGATACATTTTCGGAAGTCATGTACATATTAACTAAAACTGAAAATTTAGAGCTTGTCAAAGACGCTATTTTTTATGGTATCGGCAATTTTTATTTCATTGTTTATGTCATCTCTTACAAAAATATGATACATTCGTTGGTATTGGTATCCAAATAAATGTTTTATTATTTGTGTATCATTTTTACCACATTATTACACAAAAAAACGTCAAATTTTTACATTTTCTACGGCGCCATTTTGAATGTTGCCGCCATTTTAAAAACGTGATCTTTGTCCCCTGGTATAATTATTACACTGTAGGCCTATGTCTACATCTCATGATCAGTTAACTTTCTATTTATTATTGATAGTGAATATATATAAATACCTTCAAACTTTAATATTTTGTACGGTGTCATTTTGAATTTGGACGCCATTTTGATTAAGTGTGTATTTTTTAAAGTTGAAAAAATAATTAATTACATGTCTTAAATGTATTTCCTTAAATTTGTGGTATCTTCAAACTCAGAATATTGGTAGACTTCATCAAATGTTTGTTTTTGTAATCGATGTCTCTTATGTCGGCCATCTTTAATTTGGCGTTCATTTTTGATATTTTTTTACGTGGCTTCATATCTCAATTTTGTTTATACCCCTTAACCTTTCATTGTGCCAAGTTTCATGCTTTTACCATAAAGTGATCAACTGTTCTCATATCAGTTCAGTGGAACACTTATCTTTTTAATGAACATGAAGATAAAATGGGATTAATGTATTTGAGACATCAGGATGTTTTTCAAACATTCATAGATTTTTTAAATCTTTGACAGACGCCTATTTTTCTTATCATTGAAAGAAAATGCCTGAAGCAAATTTTTTGAAATATTTTTATTTTACAGTTTTTTACCGATAACATGGATAATTGAACTTGATTGTTAAGATAAGATTGTAAAACTTGAACTCCATTTTCAAACCTTTAAAGACTGTTTTCGAAATTTTGATACAAGCTACATCAGGATCATTAAATAGCATCTGAATAATAAATTCATTTTCGTAGTTTATACATATTTACTGATAAAAAAACTTAGTTTTTTGGCAGTCAACATTATAATTTCACTCTGTCAATAGTGATAGAAGGCTAGACACAGGGTTCTGCGTTACCCTTTTTAATTCGATTCATACAATCAATTTTGAGTTTCCAAATGAAATGATTTATCAATATGGCATATAATTTTAATGATAAGTACAACTACGGCTGATGTATTGTTGATTTGGACAATCTTTCTGTGTTAAAACTAGCACACTGACACATCACGATATCTTTATACCAATATCACAAATATATTAGTCATTTTTTTCTTAGCTATAAAATGATTTGGTAATATATTTTTTTTTGTTCTATCTTTGTTTCCTGTTCCATTTTCTGTAAGTTGTTTTCCTTCATCTCAACATCTCTCAGTCAATAATCTTAGACAGAAATATATCTTTTTTTATATATTGACATATTTAGCTATTTCAGACTTGTTCAACTGTATGTCCATTCAAATAAATTATGTACATGCCATTTCTTTTTAACTTAATCTAATTTGCTTTTTTCCTTCTTCTAGATATCATAATAATTAAATGCGGAAATTCTTTAAATAAAGGCAACAGTAGTAAACCGCTGTTTTGTTATTTGGTGTATTTTATAACAATTACAAGAATATTAATATAGAATTGTGTTAGTAATTGTGCAAATAAGTATGTCGGCCTTTCTACCAAATCAAACTGTGTAAAACAAATAAATAATGTGCACAAAGTTGCTTTAAACTAAATTCATACAAATGAACTGGGTGATTAATTATCTTTACTTTTACATACAAACAGAAAATTAAAAAAAAAACAAAATAAGAACTACATACGATAAGACACAAAAAAATATCCGATCAAAATTACAAATAATCCTCGTAACTAAATACATGAACGCTGGATAAACAAAAACTGAGACACGTCTTATAGCAATGCGAATTCATACTCAGTAAAAAAGTCATATTCGGTAAACCATAATCTAAGACGTGGAAAACATGTCCTTAGTTAGTTTAGACAAAGACACATCGTATGGACCAACCAATTCGTGATGGTGTCCATAAAATTTACGGAGTATCATTTTTAATCCCCCCTCCTCATAACTGTGTTTGAGCAGTTTCTGCGTAAGGAGCACACTCCTGTAAATGAAGTCCATATAGTGTGAACATGCACGAACATAACGTATCAACTGAGGTAAACACCATACGATGGGGCAGAGGGTATGTTACTGCTGAGAAATGGGAAATTGATAATCGGGACGTTGAAATCGTCTTGGACATAATACTAACTATAAGCTATTTAAGTTTGCCAAACAAATTACCTTGACTGTTAATTTAATTGATATAATATCTTGTGCATCCCTACACTCGATCCCTACATAACTTTTTACAAATTATTTATGATATTTCGGTACCCTGTCAAGTTTATATTCATTTGTAAAAATTATAGTTATTTATTTCCTTACCTGTCAATCAATGTTATTACAAAAACGGGTATGTCTACTGGTCTTATAAATTGTAATTTAAATTTAGCTCATCACAAACCAGTTAAGGAGCTGAATATTTAACTGAAATGGAATGTTCTTGACAGACAATAACAAGTTTTACTTTTTGTGAGTGGTGTGTGTTGAACGTAAAAACGAATATCCAAATATCATACATATTACGGTTCCTAATAGGTCTCATATACGATGTGTATCACCACGATATTGTATTATACCTCTATAATCATTTCTCTACAAAATAAGTACACAATAGTTTCAATATCGCGTTTGACCGGACAGTAGTTATTTGAAAATAGTTGACAACGAGGAAACTATTTGATCATAAGTGTTATTATATTTTGCTGATCTGCAACTACAGGATTGGAGGATGAGGTGAATACCGCGGGAGTTACGACGTCGCATTTTGCCTATTGTATCTAGGGTTGGCGTCAGTGCGTGACGTAGCCTTAGATGAAGTAAAAGTTTATTTCACCTAATATGCCTTTATTGTAGCAATAAATTAACAGATCTTACATTAGTTGTGTCGAAAGATAAACTGTACGTTGACGAAATTCTCTGTGTACTCTCAGTCTAATAATGGGGAATGATTGTTTAAGAAATAAATCATGGAAGCCATAGATTTTTTGGAAATTTACACATAGCCTAGGCCGTGATAATCGAATTTTATCCTGAGCGAGGATGGGTTTGCCGTGTATGTGGCTATTCTGTTTTACTCCCTGTTAAATAAAGCTCAAATATTCTAATAAATTGGTAGCTTGCAAGGATTATTTCGTTAATAACCGCTAGAAAAAAATCTGTCTAATTCTTTTAATATTCAAACCAAACATTTGCCATTTTAATTTGCAAGTTTTTCTCGTAAGCTACTGTCAAATCCCAAGTTGATATTTAGTAACTAAGGAGCTGCCATGTTGACTTGCTGAAATCAGTAAATATCCGAATAATGCAATAGAATAGAAAATAAACTGAAACCTACCTCAAAAATTCCATTATAATACAATATTATATGAATTTCAATGGTTCAACTAACGGAAAACCTTCAACTCTAGCGTTTTCATGTGTATGACGTCATGTTTTGAAATGACCTAAATGCGCCAAAAACATTAATAGACTTTCGCGGAATTTTTTTTAATTTTGATTTTGTTGATTTCTCCGAGCTCTTGTGCATTAATTCTTTTTATTATGCATTCGAATAAGAATAAAAGTTCTCTTTTTTTTTAATTGCAATTTTTAAAACAATAAAATCGGCAAATCGTTTGCAAATAGGTTCCAATACATCTGGATTTACGTGGGAGGTATATTGTAACATCCATTATTATGTATATCTCTGAGTCTACGCTAAGTTTAGGTATATCGAGAATTTTATCACGGTGTTGTTTAAAAAGCGAAAGAAGCACGTCATATTAGAATTCTTTTTAATCAACTACCACACGATCACTATATGTAAAATCAAATAATAATATGCAATATAAAACTTTAACTGCAGAACTTTTAAACGTGGTAATTATTACCTTATACAGGTCATTGTTTTATGCCTGTAGGCATATTTTATTGAAATTTGGAATCGCCCTGGTTGTTTGTTCTAAATAAAAATTTTCTTTTCTAAATAGCTAAAGATAAACTCCATATCAGCATATACAGAAATTTAATACTTGTTCTACATATGTCTGGTAATATTTTCTTATGGAATTCGTTCATCGACTTTGAACCAATTCGTAAGAGGATACGGCCTGATTTAGGGTATTGACATAAACGAAAATCAATTTTTCAAGACAGCAACAAAAGGAGACCGAGGTTAAACATATTTGATATATAGTTCAATTCTGATATCAATTTATTGTAGCCTAATTGAGTTTCAAACCTTGATATAAAGTACTCTTTTTAAACCAATTATAATCAATGGTGCAATTTTTATATTGGTATTATAGCCAAACTTTACAATTGACCTATTTCAGATTATAATGTGTATCATCAATTAAATTTTCTTTTTCAAAGTTTTCTGTCGTTTTAAATTCGTAAAGTGTAGATCTGAAGAACATCGGATAAGTATTTCATTGCATAATTTTCCGTACATAAAAAAATGCATCGACCAAAAATTAAAGTCGAATTGATAACTAGTTCTTTTGACTCATTGTTTAAGAACAATGCTTTAAGGTTATTAAAATCAAAGTGTAAAAGGTGACCTACATGTTGTCGTTAAAACAAAATAATTGTCGAATTGAATTAAATTGAGTTATACATCTTACCTTTCATTTTTTTGCGCAGATCTTCATGATCACGTTCAATGGAATCAATTTGATCCACAATTTAAGCAATTTGTAAACAAGTTATCAACATCTATAATTGTTTTCGTACTTACGTAACAGTTAGTTGTTAACTACCGCTAGGGGAAATAACGGGAGATAATAAATCTGCTCCAATTCCTGACTTTACTCTCACTTGCGTTAGTAGCGTGCCAGGTCAATAGCGAAATTTCGTTTAGGAGTAAGGAACACAAAGACGACCAATAAACTACATATTATTTTTGTAACGCAAATCCTAATGTCAAACAGAAATTTATACCGAAATTCTATTAACTACGTATGAATATTTCATCAGCTTTTTCAGAAACTAATTACGTCATGTTAATTTAAATCAATATCTTCCTTTTAAAGGCTCATTTTATCATTTCAATGTCTAGAATTCTATTATGTTGTAAATGAGGGTCTGGTTTCTGACGTATACTTTTCTTTTCTTTCTAGTAGTTAATGGTCTGTTATTCTCTACTTATCTCTCTAGAAATTTAATCGCACCATTTTATTTTTCTCATTCTTTTTTTATTTGTGTATGCCTATTTTGTTGTTTATCGAATCGTTTACACATTATCCGTCATTTCCATTCTAAATTATTATCATTTCAACTCTCATTATTTTCAGTTTTCTATACGAATTCTTATATGTCAAACATAAGGGTCAAGATGATAGGGTCTTCTGTTCTTTGTTGCAGTATATAATGGCCAATTATTTTCTACTGTTGAAATTTTAACACACCATTATTCTCATACTTATTTGTATGCCCATATATTTTCACAAATAATTTCTATTTTGTAAACCGCATTCAGTTCCTCGTAAATGTATCACGATGCGAAGGAGAGTGTCAAGTAGAATACTTGATGAGTATGATACCTTAATAATTGCTTATGGTCGATTGAATAAATGTTTGTGTTTAATATTACTTTCAGGGCGGCCAGTTGTTACTGATGGAAGCGATGAACATGTGGATAATTATCCACCTTCGGAAGAAAATAGGCAAACCTAGTCAATTAAGAACAATGTCGAACATATTGCCGCGCGCGAGGTTCGAACCTTTAACATCAGTAGTGGCAGGCTATATATCACTGTAGATGAATTACTTAGACCACTCAGCCACTAAGGCTTCTAACAGCATAAAGTAAGATAAAGGTATGACAGACTCTGAACCATTGCGAATAAAGGATACGGCCTGATTAAAGCTAATGACATTAATAGAAATTCAATAATGCCAGACAGCCACAAAAGGCGACCTCTAGACTAGTTTCCTGGCTTGAAATAGACACACAACGAATGTGAGCCGCCGGGGTTAAAATGTTTGATGAATAATCACTATATTCTAATATCAAATGATTGAGGCTTAATTGATTTTCAAACCTTGATATAAAGCACTCTTTTAGAACCAACTATAATCAATTGTACAATTACAATATCGGTATTATAGCCATGCTTTTTAATTCACCTGGTGTCGATTAAAATCAATATGATTAATAATTAAATTTTCATTTTCAAAGTTTTCTGTCGTTCTTAATTCATATTTAGTGTAGATCTGAATAGATATGATAAAGTACTATCTCGGGTCTGTTACGTTTTTAATTGAATACTCATATATACATAAAATGATGCATCAACCTTAAATTGAAATCGAGAAATTGATTTCCAGTACTTTTGACTATTCTTATTTAAACAATGTTAAAGGTAATTAAAATCAAAGTGTAATAGAAGACCTATATTTGTCGTTCAAATTATATACTTCTCGAATTAAATTAAATTAAGTAAATTATCTTACCTTTCATAATTTCGCGTATAGCTTTAAGATCACATTCATAGACAAGTTTTGATCCGACATTTTAACATCTTGTATGCAGGTTGGCAAGATCAATAATTCTATACGCAACAGAAGAGTCGTAAACTACCGCTAGGTGAAGTAACGGGAGATAATAAACCTGCTCAAATTCCTGACTTCATATTTAGTTGCGTTCTTTGGCGTAAAAGATCATAAATACAATATCGATTAGAAGATAGCGTTTGCAAACCAGGCGTATTTTAAGTTTACTTAAGTACGTAAGAAACTTATACGATACAAATATCTATCCTTTTCTAAAACTTTCATATTTCAACTAAATATATATCAGTAAAGGCTGTTGAAAAGTTAACGAGTGAGGGGGCGGAAACCAAGGGAAGGAAGGGGGCAGGAAAAGAAGGGGATTACAAAAGGATATGCTAGAAAAATTCATCGATCGATTTTTGTCGGGAGTTAGGTGGACGGAATTTCGAGCACCAGGAGGGAATATTGAATCAGGGAACCGCTGTTCATCACCTCTACATAGGCGTTTGCAGTTTCATTCGTATTAAAAAAAAAAAAAAAAAAAATACGTTTACTTTTTGTATTTTTGTTAAAGTTAGCCGTACTATAATTTTTTTTTAAATCATTTAAAAAAAAGAGTATCGTAACAGCAAAATAAATCATAATATTAAAAAACATAATTTTCTCAATGTAGACACATACGCTATAACTTCTTTTTGTTTGTTTGTTCGTGAAATAGGAAAAGAAGTCTGCACGGAATACAGTGTAAACAAGATTGGTGTCTTTTGTTTTTTTTTTTGTCATTTGAAATATGTGCCTTGGACCAATTTGATTAGTGAAGCCCTTTCAACTTGATTCTTACAGAACATATAACAATGTGCTGTCTAACAACGATCTCAAATTAAGGTAGGATTACATGCTCCAACTGGCTGCATTCTGTGTAAGTCTGTCTATAATCATATTAATAATAAAGTAATACGAATGATACGAATGAAAGTCTATGGATCAAAATTAACCAAGGACCACATATTTGAGTGTCATACCTTCATTAGACAATGATAAGAGATAATTTATTAGAACACAGATTTTAGGAAAGGCACAAATATGAAGCCGGACATATATGTTACTCTTTCGTATATATCGAAACAAAATTTAACTTATAAATTTTGTTTGAATAAAAAAAAAACAAAAAAAAAAACAGCACCGACCGAAGCGTATTTGTTAAACTGCGTAAACAGTGCTTCCGTTTTGGTTATAGTTCGTGTTGTACTTGAGTAATTGAGGTCATCATCAAAACAAGAAAATAGAATAAATATTGTATACAATACATGAGATTGAAGAGAAGAAAGTATTACGTTAAAATGTATAACGAAACATTTTCTGCAACTCATTTATGAAACTTTTTATTGATAATGATTGAACACATAGAAATGAAATGTATGCTAATCAATTAATATCAGTTGATTACCTTCATATGTAAGATATTGTTATTGAGAATAGTTACTGTATGTATGTTGTGTGTTACAGATATAACTTCTATGTATCATCCTTTATTTTTAAATTATAATCTAAATGAGAATTAAATTTCAAATCGATATTTTTTTATCGTCTGTGTACCAGATCACTTCAATTCCACAATGGGTTATTTTTATTTGTATTTCAACAAATTATATTTTTAACTCATATACCTTTTTATAAGGCTTTAAATTTTTAACATCAATATTTGACGAGACGAATACACGATAAGAGTGGTAATTTAAATCACCGATTGTTTTTCCTTGCTGAGTTACCTGCATTGGTTATAAGGATTGTTGTTTGTTTACAGAAATTAAATTTCATAAATTTGACTTAGTGATATCATGAAGAGAACAACATGACACCAAGAAGTAAGGCCTCTAAGACAAACACATTTTCAAGTCCACCAATCAATATTAAAACAGTAATGGCTGATAAATTCAAAACCAGTTTAACCCTGTCAAATTTCCTGTGCATAAACAATAAACATCTAAGAATTCTGTTTCTTATGCATGTCATGTTATATCTTACTGTTTATTAGAAGTTGCAAAATTAGGTCGATAGGAGAGTTTTGATATTTTTGTGTTCATACTGTCCAGTACAATGACAAAATAACCGGACACAAGTGTTTCAATGATGAAAATATTCGTCATTTGATACATGTTGCTTCTTTTTAATTTATTCACTAAAATTCTGGAAGTTTTTTTATAACCACTGTAAATCACTACCTTTTGCTAAAAAATGTGAAGTGAACTATCAATGTCATTGGTTGATGTGTTGTTGAGTAACTGTCGTAAACGGATATCTAACGTCTTCTTTTACAAACAAAAATGTAACATTACTTCAATTGATTCTACACGAAAACTACACACATCATTATTTGATGAAGGAGGTCAAGAGTGTTGTGCTGTCTGTTATTTTATATCTTTTAATAAATGAGTGTATCTGGGTAATAAATGATTGTTTCTGGGTAATTTTAAAAATATGTCGAATTTTCAGTACACCTATTCTTAAAGTTTTATTTCTGAAGAAACATGCAACTGTCAGTGTTTTAAATGAAAGTTTGTAGAATTTATAAGTCAGAACATTAATAATAAACACGATTTAGATCTATATTGATCAGACAAGAATAGATTTAAGTCCTTTTTTCGAAATTTATGTGCCTTGTTAGCTGCAAAAGGGACTTTGTTTTAGAATAATAACGCTAACGAGAAATCGCAGCTTCTTTGTTATCATCTGTAATATTTTTTCTACAAAACTAGATTGGATCAGCGTACATGCAGGTCATGTCCGTTATGTAGCTGCTACTTATATCAACCGTTAAATTGTTCTCTCTATGAATATTGAACTACTCAAAGCAACCGAAAAAGTTTCAAAACATTTACTGAAAAAAAATAGTGGTTACTGTAGATGTGTTTATTATTGCGAAAAATGCGACAGGGTTACAATCGCAATAATTAAAACTCGTATTTTTTATATGAATCAAGCAGGATTTTTCTGAATATCGCAAAAATTAAAATCACATTTTAGTCTAAAATGATAAAATCGCAATAATGAATTCACGCAATAATTTCTTAATTTACAGTATCCTTTTGTAATATCTATGTTGTTACAAATATATGTATTAACTACAGGGGCCACGATTGCTAAGTGGTCTAAGTAGTTCTATTACTGTATTCACTAGCCAGTCACTACTGAGGTTGTGAGATCGAACCCCGCTCGTTCGGGTGCACTAGACTATAATCTTAATTGACTAGGATTGTCAGTTTTTTCCGGACACTCCGGCTTCCTCCACCAATAAAAACTGGTCACCACGAAAAAGCCCAAGAGTGGCGTTAAGACACAAACAATCAATCAATGTACTATTTAGAGGCATTTTTCAGTACAACATATAAATTTGACAAATAATCTATCATTTCACATAAAATATTATAAAATAAGTTTTTATTCTTGAAAACCATCACATTGGTTAGGAAAAAACAAGTTTAAAATTTTATCGAAACCTTTTCTAAATAACCCGACATTTTTTTCTGAACACATGGCAACAGGAGAGACAAAATAGTGCACCACCTATAATACAATGTTTCAATATATTCTTCATTGACATAATCAAGATTGCATTTTTTTATATATTGTTCCACAAGTACTGTTTGTTTTGATTTGCTTATGAAGAGGGTTGTTTGAATAAGTAACTTTAAATCAATTTTAAAATATTTATATTTCACATTTTTGGAAAAAACCCATCTCATTACAGGGCCTCATTGTTTTAAAAGTAGTTAAACTACTGTATCAATAATCTATCAACACCGAGGTTACGAGTTGAACCCCGCTCGGCGCAGTTACGTCCGACTCCGATCTTAATTGACTAGAATTGTCTGATCTTTCAGCTGGCATTTTACCTTTCTCAACAAATAAGAACTGACCTCTGCGAAATAGATTACATTACTCAATGGGGCTTTGAAAGTCATTAATGAATGAATGATTCAAAAGCATTACGAAGATAACTTGAATTTCACCAATAATCGTTCATGAATTCGAGTTGCAGTGAAGAAATTAGATATTTACTAAAAATTCGGATGACTGATAAAAAGTGCACTCCGTAAATTTCAATTTAAAGTATTGATTCTTTTATTACTAATTTGATATAGGAAGATATAAAATGAGTGCCAATGAGGCAACTCTCCATCCAAGTAACAATTTATAAAAGTAAACCATTATAGGTCAAGGTACGGCCTTCAACACGGAGCCTTGACTCACACCGAACAGAATTTGTTGGGTTTTGTAGGAAGTGTGCAGGTTAAATTGTAAATAGATAGAAGAAGATGTGGTAGTGCCAATGAGACAACTCTCCATCCAAGTTACAATTTATAAAAGTTAACTATTATAGGTCAAAATACGACCTTCAAGGCGGAGCCTTGGCTCACACCGACCAGCAAGCTATAGCCTCAAAATGACTAGTGTAAAACCATTTAAATAGGAAATCGACCAGTCTAATCTATATGTAAAACGAGAAACGAGAAACACTTATGAACCACATCAACCACTGAACATCAGATTCGTTTAGAATTGTAATGAAATACTTGCCTTATTTGAAGACATTGGTTGACGAGGGGATCATGTTATAAATTAATTATCCAGATGTATAATGCGATATATTTTTTTCTTCAAGTCTTCTCAAGTTTGAACTCCCCCCTCTACCACATGAATGTCGTTGAGTGAAATTTACAGCATTTTGGTATTGTCAATATGACTTCTTTATATTTGCGAACAAATTCTTCAAAACAAATTTTTCAAATACTTTACCATTCATTTCTGTGTGGTAATCTCGTCCATCTGTGCTCATACTCTTAAAAATTAAATCGCATCCTTTTAAAAAAAACTTTCACAACAAATCTATGTCCTTTAGCTGGAGGATTTTTCTATTTTTTCGATTCATCAGGACTGGTCCATTGGCGTGATGTAGTGTGATTGGTGTCCAACCATGTCTCATCCAAATTAATAGGTGTGTAACTTTTTCACTTTTTCTCTTAGTT